TCCTTCCTTCCTTCCTTCCTTCCTTCCTTCCTTCCTTCCTTCCTTCCCTCCCTCCCTCCCTCCCTCCCTTCTGTCCTTCCAGCAGAACTCACTGAAATATTAGGACACATCTGAGAATGTGGCCAATACCACACCCCATCCCTGAGTCTCTTTCATGAATTCTTTCACCTATCTGGAATTAGTAACAAAAATGTCCCTAAATGGGGCGTGACTTCCAGGCATAGCGTGGTTGATCGATTGTGGCATTGCTCTGCTTAGATTTGAAAGCTTGCTCAGAAAAGATTCCAGATCTGGGTTTTCCATTGACTTGGTACTTGGCACATTTTGCTGTGTCTGGTTCCCCCCCCCTCCCCCCCCCACCCCAATTTGTCTTCTCCTGCCTCTTTCTTTTCAGCCTCGTAATAGGAAACACATTTTTCCTCTCAAGGTTTTGGTGTTCCCACCAGAAATATCAGACCGTTGAGCAAAGGTGAGAACTTGAACCAATAAACTCGGGGCAACTTTTCCGCTCTCAGCAAAAGTAGACCCTGTTTTATTTGACTGTTCCTTGATGTGGTTATTTCCTCCTTTTTTTTTTCCTCTTTCTGTCATGCCCACCTTCCTCTTCCCATCCCCATCCGATGTGTCGATCCACATTTTAGCTGCAAAGACAGCTCGTTTAATCTCTGGAAAGCTTTTGGACTTTGCCAGGGGAACTGGTATTCGTCACGCTGAACACCGGGAATGAGGATCTGTCTCGAATTTGCCAGAAAAACGTGTCAGCTTTAAATTTGCTTTCTCACTGTTATTTGAGAACAAAAAAAAATAATGTACAAAATGCCAGGGATATAGGCTAAGAAAGCCACTCTAGACATCTCCCTTCCACTTTGCCTAGTTTCATAGACCTCTTGTGATGCCTTCTGGGATTCTTGCCTAGATTCCTGCACCACTTGGCATGACAAAAAATATCTTATAGTTATAAAGAACGGTTGCTGGAATGGAATATGTCTAGTTTAATGAAAAGAAGGACTAGGGGTGACATGATAGCAGTGTTCCAATATCTCAGGGGCTGCCACAAAGAAGATGGGGCCAATCCAGAGGTGGTCTTCAGCTGGTTCTGACCAGTTCTGGAAAACCGGTAGCGGAAATTTTGAGTAGTTCGGAGAACCGGCAAATACCACCTCTGACTGGCTCCACCCCTATCTATTCTCTGCTTCCTGAGTCCCAGCTGATCAGCTGGATCTTCTTTTGTTGCCCTGCACAGGAGAACAGAACTGGAAAGCAGATTAGTGGGGTGGGGAAAGAATGGAGATTTTTCCGTATCCTTCCCCTGCCACACCCACCAAGCCATGCCCACAGAACTGTTAGTAAAAATGTTTGAATCCCACCACTGGGGTCAACCTATTCTCCTCTGAAGGTAGGACAAGAAGCAACGGATGGAAACTGAGCAAGGAGAGAAAGCAAACTAAAATTAAGGAGAAATTTCCTGGCAGAACAATTAATCAGTGGTACAACTTGCCTCCAGAGGTTGTGAATGCTCCAATACTGGCAATTTTTCAGAAGAGATTGGACAACCATTTATCTGAAATGGTATAGGGTTTCCTGCCTGAGCAGGTTGGACTAGAAGACCTCCAAGGTCCCTGCCCAACTCCGTTATAGCAATAGCCATAGCACTTATATACCGCTTCACAGTGCTTTACAGCTCTCTCTAAGCAGTTTATGGAATCAGCATATTGCCCCCAATAATCTCGGTCCTCATTTTCCTCAGAAGGATGGAAGGCAGAGTCAACTTTAAGCCGGTCAGGATCGAACTCCTGGCTATGGACAGTTAGCCTGCAATAGTTCAGATTAACTACTAGGAGGGAGAGAGGAAAATAGCAATAGCACTTACATTTATACAGCTGAGTCAACCTTGAGCGGTGAGATTTGAACTGCCAAACTGCTGGCAGTGGCAGTCAGCAGAAGTAGCCTATAGTACTGCATTCTAACTATTGTGCCACCACAGCTCTTCAGTTCTATAAAATACAGAAAATAGTCCTCAGCTCATGACCTTGTTTAATGATCATTTGAACTTACCATGGACTTTAAAGAAGCTACTGATGGCTCATTTTAGATGTTGTAACTGCTGTCACCATCACGTGATAGATCTTACAGGGTGGGCAGAATTAATGAGATAGAGGCTGTTTCTCAAGGTTCTATGCCATGAAAAAAAATGCGAGTGGTAATTAGCTCCTCGAATTGTATCTGGACAGTCACTGGTAACCAGTACAGTTTTCTTAAGAGAGGTTTTACATGGGTGGATCAAAAAGCAACCATAATGGCTTCTATTACTGTCTTCTGGACCAGCCGTAGCATCTGAGTGGTCTATAGCAGGGGTCTCCAACCTTAGCAACTTTACGACTTGTGAACTTCAACTCCCAGAATTCCTCAGCTAGCGCATGACCTTGGGGAAAGACTCTTGGTCCAGGGAAGGATGCAATTTCTGCAGACTAAATTCATTCTGATCATTCTTTGTAGGTAGTTCCTTGCTGTCTTACAACACACCAGCCCATACAGATCCATCCCCTCGCATCAATACCAAAGAAGGTGAGTTCTTGATATTCATTCATAATAATCTGGGTTTGTCTTTAACAGAGCGGCTTGATTTGGGGAATAATACCAAGGAAAAGGGTTCAAAGGGTTTACACAAAGTAGCTGTGTGTAAAATCCATGGCCCCAAAGAAGGAAACAAGGAATCCATCATGGAAGAGATGAATGTATAATGACAGAATGGATGCGTTAATTCAGTACAGTTGATCTGTAAATATTAACGAATAGTGTACTGTTTTAATATAAAGGAGTATTAAAGAGAAAATTGCATGCAAATATGTCTTATATTTCTATTATGAAAAGATGGACAAAAATATAAGCTAATGTGACAGCGACATACAGGTAGTCCTCAACTTATAGCTGTAATAGAGACCAATTTTCCATTGTAAGTCATGATGGTTATAGGTAGATCTGATTTTACACCCAGTTCTGATTTTTGTGGCAGTTGTTAAGTGAACACAGTGGTGATTTAAGTTGAATCCATGTATTCGTATTGAGCATGGCAGGAAATATTGATTCTATTGGTTTATCAGGATGGGCTTGATTCTTTCTTCTAGTTAATAATAGAAGGATGATAGGTGGATGGAGAAAGGAAGGAAGGAAGGAAGGAAGGAAGGAAGGAAGGAAGGAAGGAAG